TGTGCGAGGAGTATCTTCAATTGAGGTCGATTTACAGCTTTCCTTACAGGAATTGAAACCAAGCTGGTAACCAGTGGAAAGTTTCCATACGTGTAATTGATCTTCGTGGGACAAATTTGGACGAAAACGTTAGCCATTACTCTTGACTTGGTATTCACCTGCGCTAAGATGTTACATCCAAATTCTCATTACCGACCAAGATACGGGATGCGTGTGAACTGACAAACATAGCTCTCATGGGTTAGTCCTTAAAAACGTGATTTTCCCTTGTTTTACTAATTTTTTCCAAGCTGTTTTTGTTATCGTCACCAGTTCGCGTGTCATATTCTGCCTGTTTATACTGCGGCGTCAGTGATCAAAGACGCTTTGGAGCGTGTCCACAGATCACTACAATCTTGGACAATTTAAATCAAAAATTAAGACCACCCCTTCCTCCATTTCAATGATGGCAAAAGTGGCGCACTTTGGGTTTAGTGCCAGTTCATCATTGATTCACGGGGAGGGGTGGTTTTATTTCTTAATTTATTCTGTCCAAGATTGTAGCTAACAGCCGATGTTACTGGCGGTTACTCGCTTTTCTCCTCAGCGGGTAAATCGGCGATTGCCGGTTTGTTGGTGGAACCCGGCAGCTATTGAGCAAGTCCCATTTTCAAGCAACAATGCCGTCAGACTCAGTAAGGACATCCAAAAGAAGCAGCCAGCTTGCGCAAAGTCCGAAGACTGGAACAGCATATTGGTTAGTTTTGCAAATTATCGTGTTCAAGATGGTCATTATGCATATGGATACTAAAGAATGGCACATTGACCTCAATGACCGGCTTGAGTTGTGATCTTTTAATGTTGGAATTATGTTGATCGCCATTCGGCAGCCCGTCGATTTTCGTGTCGAGATTTATTTTGTTTGTTGGCCTTTCTTGGTTGTTAGTTTTAGTTTTCTAAAAATTAATTTTGTTTACTCGTTGTTGTGATAATTATTGTTGCAGAATCGAGAGTATGTTCTGCATGCTTAAAAGGATAGTTTCCATTTTCTTGTATTTGATGTACATAACCCATCAAAATTTCAGTTGGCAGAAATAGAATGTAACTGACGTCTGTAGAATTGTTAATTTGGCGAAACTGTGCCATAAACTTACTAGTTGTAGGTTATTTGGGCAAATGTTGCCATTATTGACAACTAAGTGAGTCTTGCAAAGAAATGACTGATCATCGCAGTTATTACATAATACAACTTGTGTACTCAGGAAGCGAAATTAAGTTTTGGTTTTGGTTTACGTTATAATGTAGCGAGGTTGTTACAATATTTCGACTCCAATTCAGTGTCACACGTGTAGTCCGCATGCAGTTGGATGACTGTAACTCTGAAATAGATCTAGAGGGGATATATTGTAAAAACTATGCCAAAAGACAAACTAGGTAATTAGGGCAGATATTGTTTTATTACAATTTATTACAATGCACAAAGGATATGTTACAATATTTCGGCTATATTCTAGAGTCATAGTCATGTAGTTAAATGACTATGACTCTGGAGTAGAGCCAAAGTATTGTAACAACCTTTCTGTATTGAAATAAACCGAAATTTGGTTTTCAACAATGTTGATAATCCTCGGGCTACTTTTGTTTATGTTATATTTAAAACATTTAGACGGAGCTAGACTTTGCACTGAAGTGAGTTCTCTGCCGGAAAGTGATAACTCCGTGTACAAGAACGTCTTCTTTCAGAATGTGATTTCTCGGAAACAAGTTAAAAACTTGAAATACAGCCCGTAACGAGAATAAGGCAAACGAGGAAGGATTACCTCTGCAGCACTGGACCTCTGGAAATCATTATTACTTCTATTGCTTCAATTCATTCCCATAGACATTGACGGTGTAATGAAGGAAAACGTATCTGACAAGTCTAGTTCAGTACACCACTACGCCATGTCTAGCAAACCTCATGTACCGAACTGAACTTCTGCAATCTTGATTGCTTTTGGTCACTGGTAACTATCATTCAGTTCATTCAGTGGAATCGGAACGTGAACACGATTATTCAAAAATATTGATTTGCTGCTTGCAAAAGGACCAGGATCGAGCTACAGCAATACACTGAGGACAAACAGTGAGACAGGGAAAAGAGCCAGTGTTCTGATGATTATAGGACAACTGACAACTCCTATTTTAATGGTCTATAAACTCCGGAAGATTTATCAACTGCTATGAATGAACAGAGAAAAGTAAAACTCGTAAATCCTTGACAGTGGGACAGACGACAATCGACTTAAGTTTGGCCAAGAACTTATGAGTTATGGCATTATTAATTTGCTTGAGAAAAATCTTTACGTCTAACAAGAACATCATCACTTGCTTTCTTTCTGGTATGGCTATCAGAGCTGTTTGAAATTTAATCAGACTGAATATATTAAATGACATTGAACGAGTTTTTGTCTGCGTATAATCTCGGTCGACATGGGTGCAAGTCATTGATAAGATCGTTTTGTTTTAGCCTGCGTTTTGCCCCAATGTTAATTTTCTGTACGAAACGGCTTTCGCCGGCTCTCACCCGTTAATGAAGGACCTTTAATCGTATTTTCGATCAGTGCTTGACAGCTCAAGCTTCTGGAGAGTCTTGTCCAGTATTCTGACAACTTGTGCTTGTGCGCCCGTGCTTGTGCGCCCGTGCATGAGCTCGCAAAAATTGAAAATAATTACGTATGATTAAAATTCAACCATTCGTGTTTCGTAGTGGCTCATTCAGCTTAAATTAAATGAAACAATATGACAATTCTATCATTATTTAAAGGAAAATCTGCACTTAATTCGTTCTTTTGAGGGATTGAACCCTCTACGCCTTTTATGTGAATATGGCTGTAGGACGGAAAAACAAAAGCACTGAGGTTGCACGTCAAGTTTACAATATCCAAGAGTTTTGGAAAGAATGGACAGTAAATTACTTTGCTTCACTTAGTCAGGATTCAGTGAAGGCACCCAGTTCAGTGAAGTCATCTTGGGAAACATGTTTGTGAAGCAGCTATAGTGCAAAACAATTTTGTGACGTAGCAACAGTACAGCATCTTTGAATGAGATGTCAAAACTCTGCAAAACTCCTTTGATCCAAACTAGTGGTCTGGCCCTTGTACATACTAAATTAAAGGTTGAAGACAATTGCGAAACACTTAAAAAGTTTAATTTCCATTCTAATAATTATTGGTACCAAAGTTGCGCGCTCTCTTGGCAGACGATGATCATGAATAAATGTTTGTTTATATCTACTTGACAGTTACATGGCGCTGAAAACCACACAGATTAGCCATGATTTCTAGCGGAACAAGAGTTCTTTTCTTCCANCTGTACGAAACGGCTTTCGCCGGCTCTCACCCGTTAATGAAGGACCTTTAATCGTATTTTCGATCAGTGCTTGATAGCTCAAGCTTCTGGAGAGTCTTGTCCAGTATCCTGACAACTAGTGCTTGTGCGCCCGTGCATGAGCTCGCAAAACTTGAAAATAATTACATATGATTAAACTGCAACCATTCGTGTTTCGTAGTGGCTCATTTAGCTTAAATTAAATGAAACAATATGACAATTCCATCATTATTTAAAGGAAAATCTGCACTTAATTCGTTCTTTTGAGGGATTGAACCCTCTACGCCTTTTATGTGAATATGGCTGTAGGACGGAAAAACAAAAGCACTGAGGTTGCAAGTCAAGTTTACAATATCCGAGAGTTTTGGAAAGAATGGATAGTTAATTACTTTGCTTAACTGAGTCAGGATTCAGTGAAGGCACCCGAGTTCAGTGAAGTCATCTTGGGAAACATGTTTGAGAAGCAGCTATAGTGCAAAACAATTTTGTGACGTAGCAACAGTACAGCATCTTTGAATGAGATTTCCAAACTCTGCAAAACTCCTTTGATCCAAACTACTGGTCTGGCCCTTGTACATACTAAATTAAAGGTTGAAGACAATTGCGAAACACTTAAAAAGTTTAATTTTCATTCTAATAATTATTGGTGCCAAAGTTGCGCGCTCTCTTGGCAGACGATGATCATGAATAAATGTTTGTTTATATCTACTTGACAGTTACATGGCGCTGAAAACCACACAGATTAGCCATGATTTCTAGCGGAACAAGAGTTCTTTTCTTCCANGGTACTCAAGATATTGTTCTCTGTCAGCACACATAGAGGCACATAGGAGACAAGTAGCTCATAATTTCTTCAGAGTTGCCCGTGGGTTACAGTACCTTTACTACACTATTTGTATCTCCTTGCAGTGTCTTTTCGACTTGTGAAACTAAGGAATTATCTAGGAACTCGCTAAGAGAATCAATATCGTAAATACAGTGCTTATTCTCATTGTTGAAAGAAACTTTCACGTCTTACTAAGGAGTGATAGTAGGAAATGAGAAAGGGAGTCACTACACATAGTTAACATTCTGAGTCTCTAAAACTTCAACAAAAGAGAGGCCTGTACTCCAGGTTTTCAAACCTTTTTTGTTGTTTCAGTTGCGCACCAGTCTGTTGCTGTCACTTTTGCCAAGGACAGGAATAGTGTACATGGATCTTGACTTGACACAGAAGCGGAAGATCTTTGAAAACGTCTTTTAGACAGTATTAGAAGTATATACTACCAGTTTGGCTATGGCTGTATAAACTTCAATTGCAGAAAATAGATCAGGTTCATTGCATAGTTGTTAGGGACAGGATATTGATGTTACACTTTACTGATACTTTTGAAAAGATGGTCAAAAGAAATTCCGTTTTCAACAGAACTCGAAGTACAAAAACGTGGGTTTAATGATTGTTTATCATTGGGTACGTGCAAGGGAGCCTTGAGTTTTATGCGTCTCTGCAAATTGATTGCGCTCAAACAAGGGTGATAGATCCATTGGCATAAATGCTGTTATAACATGAAATTATAAAGAAAAGCTGTACCTGGAGTTAAGGAGGACTGAACATTTGCTCTGCCTTCAAGTACGCCATGTCTTTATTTGTTCGTTATTCGTTCGATGTGTTTTATCAGCTCTCGTGTTTCATTAGGCTCGATTTCGAGTCCGGTCCACGTTCTTCCCCATGCCCTCGGTGGAGAAATAATTTTCATTCTGTAACCAATCACCTCTATCAAAGCTGTTGCTTACAAATTTGAAAGTCTTGAAACTTAGACGGCATTGATCTAGGGAGAGGGGGACACAAGGTATTTAATTGTTCCATTGTCTTTAATTTATGGTCCTAGTTGTCCTGCGGGGCACGATAAGAGATGAGTGAGAATCTCTTTAAAGGGACACTGTCACGATACATTTGCTGAAAACTGTTATAAATTCACGAAATGGTCCCTAAATTTATGTAATAAGAACTTAATTAACTCTAACTAAATGATTAAAAGCAATTTGATGAAGAAAATCCACACTGCAGCAATATTTTTGCAAAATTGCAACGATTTTTGAGCCAAACTAGAATTTTTGAAAAAGTGACAAATCCATATCGCAATC